TATTCATACATACTCAGACAAGTTCCCAAGATGCATTTGATCAGGGTTGGTTTTTTAATTAAACTGAGGAGAAGCAGCTGCTTGGAACAAAATGCAGTTAAAGAAATTACTCTGGAAAATTCCTGAGATCACAAAAATCACTACAGCTTAAGAGTAATTTATTATACACTGTTGTACAGCAAGTTTGTCTTTTATTTGGTACCTTATCAGGTGCTCTACATGCAGGAAAGTTCATAAGGTCCTTTTTCAGTTTTCAAGGGCCACATAGATAATTTTTTTCCTGTAGCATGCAGCCTTTATAAATTTTCTCTGAGTTAAAGGCTTTTGAATGGTCTTTTAAAATTTGCAGTATTTATCTACAGTCAACTTTTTACCTGTTTTATGCTGCATGTAATTTTGTGGCTTACACACATTTTATAAAGAGTAAATAACAATACTGTGTGTCAGTCTTCACTTTGATATGCTAATAAATGTCAAGTTGATTCTTTGGTCAAATCAGTTGTCGAGTGTTTACTTGCATGTTCCTGGAGGTCAGTGTCGTTGGGAATCAGACATTGCAGTTTGTGCAATACTAATCTGGTTTAGTGTCAGGATGCAGTGGAAAAGGCAGGAGGTGCCAGTGGGAGGAACAGTTCACTTAGCAGGTGCCTCAAATGTGGTTTATAGGTGGGTTATCACTTTCAGCTGATAGGTGGGCTATTACTTTGCCAACTTGTAGCCACTGTTGGTTATTCAGTAGGGTCCTACAAGAATATTCAACATAGTGTTTTGGAAACTAGAAGCAAACTGCTGCCTGTAAACACATCAGCCATGAGAAAACTCCCTCAGCACACACCCACAAATCATTCTGAACATGCTGTGGTTTTGTTTAATGTATAGATTTGCATGTCCATGGGAGCTGTGGTCTATCCAATGAGTACCCTTTGGTCTATCCAATGAGTACCCTTTGGTCTCTGTTTTTCAATAAGCACTTTTGTGAGGGGTAAAGAACAGCAGTTTGGTATTTGCTGAACATTGCATAGCTTCTTAAAATGCTTGTCAGACAGAACTCAGATAAAATAAAAAGCTCTTGATGCTGGCCATAGCTCATTGCAATCAGCTATGGTATTAAAATGCAAGGGCTAGTTTTCATTTGCTCCTTGAATTAGCTTTATGTAGAAGGACTTTTCAAGGGATATTTCCATTTTGATTATTAAAATTGCTGACTCATTTGCTCCTGAACATTTCAGGTATGCAGTAGCTGCATTTCCCAGTGAAACTAATTTGCTTACCTTTTCTTGTCAGGGTCCTAATTTGGACCCAAGTGTCTTTATTTTAATTGAAAAAAACAATTAGTCTTCTTCATGCCAGCCTATATGGCTTATCTTCATTTAATAATCAGTTGTGTAATTGGTGCTCAGATACAGTTTAACTGAGAAAATTGCAGTGTTTTGCCATTATGGGGTTATTTGAATACTGAAAGTGCAGCTTCCTATAATGTGATCAATTCCTTGAGGGCACACAAATCCTTGCCTGACCTTTTGAAATAAATTAGCAACAGAATCCAAGGGTTGGTATTTTGATGTAAAGGTTGCAATGAATGCCATCTGTCGGGTATCAGAACAGTTTAATGAAGGCCTCTTACATCAGGTGCTCTACAAGTTCAGGAAGATGCTCTGGGGGCTCTGCTCTGTGCTGCATCTGACCTGTATATTCTGGGAAAGCTGGACAATTTGCTTTCCTATGCCTTAATGAGAGAATCTGTCTGGAAGGTGCAAAATAACTGCAATTTCCAGTCTTTCCCTGATGTATAAAGGATCCCTGTGATGGCTTGCTGAACAGTATTAGTGGCTCCTGAGTCTGGCAGCTGGATGGAGGCTGTTGCATTCACCCTGCCATGATGGTCCCCTGGTAGTGACCACTCCCTCCTCTATGGGGTGATGGTGATCCTGTCCTCTTGGCTTGTGGTGATGGGTATCCCACATCCCTGAGACTCTCCAGAGCAGCCTGGAGTGAGGGTGTGGGGTCTCCATTGCTGTGGTGAGATGATGGGGCTCCCTCCTGTGCCGTGTGTCCCTCTGCTTGTCTCATGCACTGGCAGAAGTCTTTAGACATTTAAGCTAAAAAATTGTTACCGTACCTTGGGGGAAAATCCTCCAGCATGGATGTTTGGCCCTTCTCCCCACACCACCTAAGATACTCTTTCTGGTCCTGGAATTTAGCATCCTGGTGATACTGTTGGATAAACATGGCAGGGAGAAAGGCCTGGTCATCACAGACTGGGGAATCTTCCATGAGCCACAGTCCTCAGTGGAGGTCCAAGGGTTTGTCAGACTTCTCTCTGTCTCCACACAATTTGTCAAAACTATTACCTCACCCTTGCTCTACATAATTTAGTAAAAAGAGCTGAATCTCCATCCTTGAAGAAATTCAAAACCCAACAGGACAGGACTGAGCTCAGCTGTAGTGCTGTAGATGACCCTGCTTTGAACAGAGGGCTGGACAAGACCACCTCCAGAGGTCCCTTCCCACCTCAGCCAGCCTGGGATTCTTCAATGTAAAGTGGTCCCCCATTTTGGGGAAGGGAATCCTCATTCTTACAATAATACATGCAAGAGGAAGGACAGTATTACCAAACCAAATGAATTTTTTTTTTTATTTTTTGACAAAAAGCAATGAGAATGGGAGCACAAAGAATGATTTGACAGAATTGCAGTGATATGAAGGGTGGTTCTCCAGACCATCTTCATTTCAGAAAGGGTAAACTGGTTTCAGAGAGAGGTCATTTCAGTGTATTCCCTACATGAGATGATACTCTCCAAACTCAGAACAAAAAGGTTAAGATGTCTGCTCTTATTATTTTTCTAAGGAAATGCAATGAATAAAAGTTAAGGTTTTTTTTCTGACCCTTTATGTCAAAATATTTGAAGGTACCCAGTCGTTTTTATCCTGTTTGCTTTGTACTAGTTCTGAAACTGAAATTCTTTCAAGTGAAGCAGAAATCTTTGTCAGCTTGAAATTGGAGCATCAAACACATTAACTGTTATTACATAACTATTTCCATTTTTATTAAAGCATGTCTGTGCCACAGTAAGTTTCTATAAGCAATACATAAATGAGGCTTTGAAACTCAGTTTCAAAAATCAGGTTATATAAACTCAGTTTTTAAATATAATTTTTTGCCACAAGAATTTCAGACCATCGTAAGTCAAATCAGTTTTAAAAGACATACTGAACCTAGAATATTTCCCTCCTATTATTCATGGCAGAACATTTGCTGGTTTGGAAATTCCATTTCTAGAAGCATTTGGAACTAGATGATCTTTAAGGTCCCTTCCAACCCAAGCCATTCTATGATTCTTTGAAAAGAAATAGAAAATTGAATTTCTACTTAGAACATTTAAAGCAGATTTTCACAGCCTGTCAATGAATGACTAAATAAACTATGAATGTTTATTTCAGCATACTTGACCAAGACTGTCAATAAACAAAGTTAAAACTCCTAGAATGAGAGACAGGAATACTGATTTCTAAATTTTCATTGTGTGCTGCACTGGAGCCCCTGGGAGAATAAGTACAAATTGGACCTCTGCTGAATTTACATTACAGCAGTATGTATGGACAAGAACAAGAGAAATCTTAACTGAATTTACAGGCAAGTATTTTTACAGCTGTTACAGATCTTAAAATTAGCTAGAGGAAGATTCTGTGTTCTTCAAAAAGGAGAAGAATGTTTAAAAAACCCACTACTTTTAGAAAAAGGTGATAGTGAGTTCCTGAATGATGTTGTGAACCATACACTTTTACAGACTAAGAGAGATGCAGAGCTGCTTTCCAAATTTCAGATTTATTAAAGCTTTCACTCACACACTCCTTTTCCTGTGAGCATAAGGATAAACTGGTGTTAGCTAGCCATTACTTACGGAGGTGTGTAGCAATGCCAGGTGGGAGGACCTTTATGCCATCCTTGAACATTTTGCAGTTGCTGAGTTGCTGTCTATGAAATTTATTCAGTGCACTTCCAAAAGGCAAAAAATATCTCCTCTACCCATTAACTATGGCCCTCTTCACTGTATGCAACAGAAATGAGAAATGATTCCTTTATTAGTAAATGTTAGCAAATATACCTTCTGACTGCCTTTAAAAAAGAAAAAATGGAAAAAATATACAGTATTTTTTTTCTCTGAGTAACAAGGACCAAAGAGGATAAATAAGCTCATTCATATGGCTGACTGTTTCAGATCAGTAGCGTTACTGTACAGAAAAAGGTGCTCATGCATGAGGACTGACTAAAAAGCAGGGTTCTCGGGCTACTGTATGCTGTCTGTATTTCCCTTATCAGACAGGGGATCTGGCTCGTGAATAATCAATTGGGCAAAAATTTCATGTTCTTATTCAGTCCAAGATCCAGTGAAGGCTAAGGCAGCTTCATCTTAACACAAGAACATTAAATTGAAAGTAGTTACCAAAGCTTTGAAAGTTATTTGCCGCAACACAGCAAAACTTGCTTCTGGCAAAGCTGGAGGAAATGTCCAAACCCAGAAGCACAGCTCAGATTTGCCCAGCTCGAGAGGCCCTAGGCTCCTTCAGCTGCCCTGCATGCATTGGATGCTTAGCTCTGCCCTTGCTGAGGTGAAATGCAGAGCTCCTGCAGCAGCTTCCTTCGGCAGTAAGGAGCAGCTACAGCAAGACGAGTGCGGACATCTCTCCTGGAGCCAAGCCAAGCCTGCAGGCTGAGATCAGCACCAAATATGGGGGGGGTGCCCTAATCCAGCTCTAAGAAATGCTCTGCTGCTGTCACACTGCTGCTGCTCCACAAGGAAGCTGTGCCAGCTCGGGGGTTCAAACTGGATTATCCCAACATTGCACTTTGGTCCTTCCCTGATGCTCCTGGGAATGAGTGCTAAAATTCAAAAGGAGACCTTGTGAGTGTGGATGGTGTCATGTTGTGGAAATGTCTTTCAGTAAATAACAGGTTTTTCTTCATCCAAATATGAATAATCACTCAGAGGATCTTCTTTCAAAAGCAGTATTTATTTTTTCATCAAGATAAGACATTACATACTGCATCAAGTAAAAAGTACTGATAGGAAAGCTGCATTTAACTGAGATAAAAAAAAAATATACATAGATTGCACTTGAGAAAGTAGGCTCTATCCCAGAAGAATATAGTAAATAAAAAGCTGATGAGTAGTTCAAAATTAGGACTCTTTCTGAATTGCCTGAAAATGTATTTATTTTGGGGGGTTTACAATTCCACGAATAAAACTGAACCAGATTACGGTTTTTTAACATCTTTGCTCATTAACTTAAAATGGTATGTAAACAACATAACAATTATACAAAGACAAAAGAGGGAAAAATGTATGGAGATACACTTTTGCAATTTCTGCTAATAAATAAAAAGGAAAAAAAAATCTGATTTTTGGGTTCAACACGGTCACTGCATCTCAGGGCTTGGATTTTGGGGAGTTTTTCTTAGTTCACATGTGTCTTATCATCCCCATACTGCCACAAAAAGCCCATCCTTGACCTGCCTGCACTGGCTGGGAACATGGTGTCTCTATGGCAGCAGGAAGCACTGAATGGTTCCATTAATTAGTAAGTGTCCCAGGAGTAATACTTTAAACTTTGTGACAAGCTTAGCTTACATTTAAGAAGGCAAACCTATCGTTAAGCAAGAGGATTTTTTTTTTTTTTTTACTTTGCATCTGAATTTTTCTGTTGGACCCTGGCATCCACTGCTGCCTTTATCTGACTCAGTTAGCTGAATTCTCAGCTGTTCAGTCTTTAAAAGGACTATTCATACTATCTACCTCTGTGCATCCCACTTAGATATCCAAATCAAATTTTAAATCTTTCTATATAGTCAAAGGAGAGAAAGGAATGCTCCCAAACTGTGTGATTTCAGCCTTTGGACTAAGGCACACTATGGCAGAGCCTCTCCCAGTTGCCTCCAGGGGTAACTCAGCTCCCAGCCAAGGCTGAAATCCCCCATCAGGAGGCACCATGGCCCCTCACTAGCCGTGGCTGCAGAGGTGGGACTGGGCAGGCGGTGCTGTGTGGCACACACCTGGTGCACTGCCTGCTGCCCAGTCCCTCTTGGAGGGTGGGAATCAAAGGACCACTTAGAGCACAAAGCCTTGTAAAATTTGTGTATCCTGCAACCAATGCTAACTATGAAATCAGAGTGCTTAGGCATGACTCAGTCAGAGATACAAACAGGAGTTCAGTATCTCAGAAACAATCCGTACTGCCAAGGTCTTGCACGCAAATTTATTCCAAACTTAGCTAAGACTTATGGAAGGGCTGGGTCAATCTTGTTATTGAGCTAGAGACAGAAAAAGAATGAGATGTTCTTTAAATAGTCCTGAACTACAAAATTAAGGTGGTAATCTTTGGTTACAGGGCTGTTCTTTAAATGTGAATTGCTTTGAAAAATGATGAATCACTTCCCAAGTAAGCATTCAGGAGCATTTTTAAACAGACATCTAGGAGCCAGAGAGGAAAAATTAATATAAATAATAAAACCTCCACATTTTCTGAATCTCCAAGGTTAAAGTACAGGAAAGAAAGTAACACAACATTTCGAAGGGATCTTTCAGCGAAGTTTTGCTAAAATTATAAAAAAGCACTTACAAAATACTTGAGCTGATGAAGAGGGAAAATGAGACCATTAGGGTGCTTTTATAACAAACCTGTGGAGTACTAAAACATACTGGTTTGAAGGCCTTGTATTTTATAGCACATGCCATTTTCCACTAATTATAATGCATTACTGGCAACCTACTTCACTCTTTCAGAGAGGCAGAAAGACAAGAGCCAACACAGACAAGATGATTCGATGCAGCCTATGTCTACTATAAAACATAAAACCTCAGCCATTAAATGTGCCACCCTATTCCCTCTGTTACATTCATGACCAAAACTCTAATTCTTTTTGAAACTTAAATCTGCCTGCTTTCTACATTTTTGCAGCAGCATTTGAAAATCCTTAATGCTAGTTTGGAAGGATCTTTTTTCTTATTTCAGCTAGAGCACTTTTGTAATAGTTTAAAAGGCATAGGAAACCATGCTGTAGCTTTTAAAGTGCTGATTTTATTATGAGGTGGTATTTAGTAATAATTTTCTGGAAGTTGATGCACATTTTCAATGACTGACAGACAATAGTTAATGAGTTAATACACTTCAGCAAAATGCAATAAAAAAAAGAAATTCACTGTCAACACTTTAACCATGGCAATACACAGAGCTGGAACGAGACAACTAACCTCAGATAACTAAGATTAATGCATATATGACAAAGTTAAAAAACAAATAAAGAAACCCCAAACCAAATAATGATAATTAAATCTCAAACACAGTTTTGTTTCCCAGTAACACAACTGCAAAACAAATCAATATTTTCAACAGACAAGTGCCCTATCTTCATCTCCTCCACAGGAAAGCACGGGACTCCTCGAACTGCTGCGAGGAGGATCCCAGGGGAGGTCTGGCTTTCCCTGCTTGTGTAGAGGGGGCTCCTCTTGGGCAACTGTGGAGCCCCTCTGGGCAAGGGGCAGGGCTCCAGATCATGTAGGTAGTGACCAAAATCAGTTCCAGCCTGCAGGTTTTATTTACCTGGGGAGCTGGCAGGAGCCCCCTCTTGCAGAAGCACTTGGGTGATGGCTGCCATGGGGCCACCACAGCAAAAGCTCCAGCCTTGGCACCCCCTACCACCCTCAGTGTCCTGGCTTATGCAAAGCATCTACTAATTTCAGCACACAATTTGCTCGAGTAGAAACAGCGAGATTTGACTTTACTGACGTGTGATTTTATGTAATGATGGACGTTAAGCATTCTATCTCACTCTGTTGGGCCAGAATGTTGGGAAGTTCCCTCTGAGAGTGGGGGAAACCTTTTTGCACTCCTACAGGCTCAAATTCTCTCCTCATTTTTACCCACCATAAATTCCTACCTACCATCAGGAGAGCTGAGGAGGTAGAAATGGGAGCAGAATTTGAGTGTAGGAACCGGTGAGTGAAAAAGAAACACAATGCTATTTCATTGCCAGCTACCAAAAATACCTACATACCTGGTATTAAAATTCAGCGGGCACTGTGTGCCCAAGGACTGCAACTGAGCTTTTAAAATCTCAGTCCTCAGAATCTAGCTACAGATAACCATAATCCTAAATTCTTGGATGCTGATACATAAATGTATGCTATATCTGTTTAGTTGCCATGACACTAATCAGCACAGCAATGATTTTTGCTAATTGCTAAGGCAGGCTAGTAGCAAATTTCAAATGATAAGTGAGTAAAGGTCCTCAGAGCAATCCTGCTTGAAAGTAAATGTCCGGTAAGATGCAATTAGTGTGTCTGGATTTTTCTTTTCCTTCTTTGTTTCTCCTTTTTTATCGGGGTGGTCTTGAACTGCAGACACAATCACAGCGCTCATGGTGATCCAGCTGTATGTCTACCAAGGACATGTTGTTCCTGATTCTGCCTCTTCTTCTGGTATGCCCAGCCTCAGGGACGAACTTCAGCACCTGGGAGGATCAACAAAAACGCACTGAATTAGAAAACGCTGTTGGAGATCTGAGGATGAGAACGCTGGGGCCCCAAGGGTACCAACAGCCCTTAATGGCCCTGACCATCATTAATTTGGACACATTTTTGTTTTATTTCCAGCTTTTTCTTTGCACACTTTGACATCCTGCTGTATTGTTTGTCCTGGAGCTTGGACAGACTTTATTTTTTCCTACGCCAGGTATCTTTGTATCATGCAGTTTCCTAGCCATGTCCAGAGCTGCTCCTTTGCATGCGAACTATCAAGCAGGTTTCCTTTGGCTCATTTGTGCAGTCCCATTCCTATTTGAGTTGCCCTGTCCCTCCTCTCCCTTGTAGAATATTTCTGCTCTTAAGAACAAGGAACATTTTTTTACACAATTTGAAATTTCTGAAGCACATATCATTAGAATTAGTCCAAAACTGAAATACTGAAATACTGTGAAGGGCAGAAGGAGACAATAGAGCTTGCACAAAACGTGTCAGATCCACTGAGTTTTGGTGGAATCTGAGTTTGTTGGCTTACCTTAAAAATCTCTTCCTCAACCTAAATGATTTGTGAAGAATTTAATGTGAATAATGTCAAGCAAACAAGAAAACAAAATTACTTCCTAGGGAAGTTTGCATCATAATAAACACTTCTGAAAAAATTCTATCTAGGGAAGATGATCTTGAGACCCCTAGGAAGGTTGTAAAAAGGAGCTAGCTTGGCCAAGTGACTACCACATCAGCTGGATTTCTCTTGCTTGTTCACAGATGGAGAGATGTCTATTTAAGTACATGACCTCCCAAAGCCAGTGGCCAACCGGGAAGTGGAATCTAAATGTCTGTAACACCTCAGCCACTGAAGCACCCACGTTTCTGCCCTAAAAGATCACACTGTTTTATAACCAACAGATCACTCTGTTACTCAACAATCCTTTTTTTTTTCCTTTTTACAAAGCAGTTTCTGTATTTTGATGTCATAACACCACACAAGAGTTGAGATGGGTCCAGAAATGACAGGGAATATGAGGCTGTGTTCCAGATCAACAGAGTATTAGCATTTTCAACAGAATTAGAAAGCCCCAGAAAGTAAATGTGAAGCACTTGCCAAAGGACAACCAGAGATGCTGTGCAGGGTGGGTGGGGAAGGGCAGGCAGGTTAGCAGCTCTCATGACGAGACCATTTGTTCTCTGCCATTAATGCCTTGAGGCTAGAAAAGGCGTGAGATATAACAAAAGTGATAAACACTGAACACAGTCTATTATTTTGTACTCTGTTTTGTGATGAAATTTATATTTAGCCTACGTAATACTGAAAGGAAGAACTGTGCCTAAGCAAGGTACAGACACGCTGCTGTTCTGTGTTGGGAAAAGAGAATTATTTTGCCCTGTTAGAAATGCAGAAACGCAATTTTACTTTTTTTTTTTTTTGACAGCAACAAAAATATAGTATCTTTGAATTCATTTTAAACATTGGTTGCATCTATATATGCAATAAGTCCTGATGGACACTAGGACACTTTGCTGTATCACAGTCACACCAAGCACAAAGGAACTGAACCCAAACAGGTTGCTGCAATTATTACAGAGCTAAAAATAGACCACAACCTCAAAGATGCTTTTTTCAAAAAAAAGTGCTTTAAAAATCAAGTACAGATGCTGACAATGAACCCATGACAAATTCCTTATTTAAAGAAGTTTCCTAGCAAATTATGACCAATCCAGATGACTGGCAGTTTGCAAAATCATAGGGTAGGTAGATCTGATTTTTTCCAGCTGAGAGCAAATCAAAGTATGCGATGGGATGAGAGCAAAGATCTGGACTGTATTTAAGTTAACAGACCATCTGACAGCTTGGGGACTTTCCCTGTGTTTTTTATCAAGAACCATGAGCACAGTATATATACTTTGCTGATACAAGAATGAACTGTTAGGCACTTCCTCAGACAAGACAGGAAAACAGTGATTGAATATAGCTGAAATTATCATATCATAGAGTCCTTTAGGTGGGAAAAGGCCTCTGAGATCACTGGGTCCAACCCTCATCCCAGCACCAGCAAGTCAACCACTAACTTCTGACCCCTAATGCCACATCTCACATGCTTTTTGAATACTTCCAGGAATAGCATCTCTAACACTTCCCTGTTTCAATATCTGACGATCGTTGCAGTAAAGAAAATTTCCCTTATATCCAGTCTAAATCTCCCTTCATGCAACTTGAGGCTACGTCCTCTTGTTTTGACACTTGTTATCTGGGAGAAGAGGTGCACCCCACCTGGCTACACCCTGCTTTCAGGCACTCAGAGAGAGTGATAAGGTTCACCCTAAGCCTCTTTTGCTCCCGTCTAAACACCCTGAGCTCCCTCAGATGTGAGTCTTGTATTCCAGACCCTTCTCCAGCTCTGTTGCCCTTCCCTGGATTGGAGCTGTGGCCTCAGCAGTGCTGAGTGCAGGGGCACGGTCACTGCCCTGCTCCTGCTGCCACACCAGTGGTGACCCAGGCCAGGATGCCATTGGCCTTCTTGGACACCTGGGCACACCCTGGGTCACGTTCAGCTGCTGTCAACCAGCACCCCAAGGTCCTTTTCTGCCAGAGAGCTTTTCAGACACGCTGCCACATCCTGTAGCACTGCCTGGAGCTGTTGTGACACAAGTGCAGGACCCAGCACTTGGCCCTGTTGAGCCTCACACACTGGTCTCAGATTCAGCCTGTCCAGATCCCTCTCCAGAGCTACTTTAATAGCTGATCACAGAACTGATATTCATAGGTCCCTGTCTCACTCCCCCCTAGTAGTTTTATTTTCATCTAAGTACAAGGGAATTGAAAAGAACATGGAAATAAGGCCATTTCTGGTGACCACAGTAGAAGGAAGACAAGCCTTTATTGTGCAAATAGCTGCTGTTTATTTATAACATGGTCACATCCTTAAAACTGAGGAACTACTGAATTAATGAGAACAGTTCAAATAAATTCTGTTGAGGACATTTAATCACTCATTTTTTTCATGGGATCAGTAGCTGTAAGAAAATATGGACAGGTCTAGAATGCTCAAAAGGCTTTTTTTTTTAAGGGGTGAAAAGCATCAACCTTGTAGTTTTCAAATTAAAGGATCAGTGTCTGTCACCTCTCATCAAATTGCAGTGCCTCAGCCACTCAGATCATTCACTCAGATCATTGCCCCACAAAGAGCATGCAACTACAGCCACGTCCCCTCTCGTCAAACACTGAGTAAATTGTGGTCATCAAACTATTAGAATAATTAAAATTAAATCAAGACAGATTATTCTGCTTTGAGCTGGATGTGGTGCTTATAGGTAATACAAAAAAAGTGCAGCAGGGAATTTTCTGTGCAGACAGCCCCATAGGAGCACACCAATATGCTGGATGGCATTATACTTTGTAGATGTGCCTGAGCATCTGAGAAGTTTCAAGGTAAGATGACTGTAGCCACCACATAACTTTCCTTGGGGGCAGTGATATAGGAAATATAAAGAAAATGCTTACACGTGTTTCCCTGCCAGCAATCTCACTCATGGATCATGTATTGAATTTGGATGCCAGCTTTTGAAAGCCTCTTTAAATGAGATCAAAGCCATGACAAAAACCAGGATCTGGAAGCTGAAGCCAGAAAAACTTCAAGTGGAATTAGGGCACCCATGTTTAAGTCAGGCCCACACACTGCTTGGACAGCCCTCCAGGGAACTGGGGAGTTTCCAGCCTGTTTGAGGTCTGCCTGTCCAGGAGGTGTATGGTACCAGTTTGGGTTGTGCTCTGGGGACAGCAGCTGCTCTCCTGTTGCCTGTGGATCACTGGAAGTCAGGGGTGACAGCCCCTATCATCTCAGCAGGTCTGTAAAAACACTTAAGAACTCTTAACACTTCAAGATCTGGGGCTGAGAACAGCAAAGTGGCAGTGACTGCCAGGAAAATGACCCAGCTGAAGAGAGCTTGATCACCCTGATCCACGGATGGCATGTCTCCAGTAGAAGCCAGAATAAAGCACCAACTGCAGAGCGTGATTCACCTGAAACACCCACTTCTGGCAGGGCCAGGCCCAAAGCTTGGACTCACAGTGTTAGATGGGTAGAGCCAGATGAGGTGAACCACCCCTTCAGGATCTGCTGATGGTCCTGGCCAGGTATCACTGACCCTTGAAGTCAGGCAACATTTAGCCATGACAGTCCATGATGGCTGATTTCTCTTTTATTAAAAAGCAAATAGGGATAGCAAACACAGTCAAAACTGAAAAAAAAATTCCTCACAGGCTGAGGAATTTGACTTATCATTTACTTATTAGTAACAAGAGTAACATTATTTTTTTTAATTCTTGACCAGTATTTTAAGCACCAACAGAAAAATAAGGCCTCACTCAAAAATTGGCTTTTTTCCCCTTTCTGATTAGTTTAAGAAGCCTACAGAAAATCAATACTATGACTATGGCTTATCCACTATCTAATTAGATTCATATTCTTGTGACAGAGGATGGTGAGCAACTCTGGATGCTATTTTAGATAGTGAAATTTGTACTTTGCAGAACTTATTTTAAAATTCTGCTATGCAGCATTATCTAATCTCCTTCTGCACATCTAAAAATAACACCATTCTAGCATGAAAACCAAATTGTATTTGTCTAAGATTCATGAAAGAGGAAGCATCAAAAGTGCAAAACAGTCAACACAGATCCAAGTTCTGATAGACATAAAAAAATCTTACTCTGCAATTTTTGAAAGTTATCTAATCCAAAGGTCACACATGGTTTAGCTGTGCTCTGAGTATAAGAAGACAAGTATTACGGGAATGTGGTTCATAATTTAGCACAAGGACCTTTACTCTAGTAGGAACATATCCTAAACCAATGACATAGACCCAAAGATGTGTGCTTTCTTACCAGAGATAATTACAGGGTATTGGGAACAAGAAAAATGAGTTGGCTTGCTGAGCAGTGGTAGCAGGCAAACTAAGAGATTATTAAATATAGATGGGATTATTGTTTCTA